TTCACGGTGACATGTAGCTGCATTAAAGGATTAGAACTGCATCAAGACCTACACTAGAACGACATGAGCTTGAAATTTAGCACGAAAACGAGAAATACATTAAGAACTAGGTACAAGCTTCCTCTACTACAGTAGAGGTACATTAGCCGCAAAATTAGCGCTGGATTTGAGCAGTACGTATTAGCGTGATTTATATTAAGCGCCAGCTGAAAATAAACGCCCAGCACAGAAAGACGAGACACTGGCGAGGAGTATAGCCAGGAACATTTGTGTTCTTATATGTTTCATTTTCAGACAATGCACCAACTTGCCCAGCAACGCAGCCTATTAAACGCTAGATTGAGACCTTTGTTGTTGTTGTTGTTGTTGTTGTTGTTGTTGTTGTTGTTGTTGTTGTTGTTGTTGTTGTTGTTTCAATTTGCTAAACATATACACGCTTAAGAGTGTTTATGCGTGTCTCTGTATTCACGCGTGTAAGCAACGAGTCCAGCTGGAATCAGGGAAGCGCGCACGCAGCAGCAGCTGCCCATCTAGCGCGGCCAGTAATTAGCACGGCACCTTCCGCGGACCTGAGCTCACTGACGCTCCACAGCGTGTTGCCGCAGGCACGCCCGCTCTATTCCCGTGGTTTATGTGTATCACTGGCGCACGAAACACGGCACTCTGGCGTCGTCGGCGGCGGCAGGTGTTCCGAACGGCCCCGGCTTGGTCGGGGTCACCGATAGCGGTCTTCACGAGCGCTCTTTCAGCGGCGAAACACGCACGTGTGTGCACGCATCGCCTTCTTTCGGACCGGTCCGTTCTTCTCCATCATGCCCGGTGCGGCACCGGTTACCCACGCCGAGTAGGTTGTATTCTCGGCTCGCGCTAACTTGAGGGCGCCCCACTGAGAAGTTCCTAAGCGAAGCTTCGACGTGAATGAGAACGAGCCGGGTGTGCTATAGGGCTCGTAGTCTGCTGACGTGCAGAATGCGCGAGCCCCGAAGTCGCCTACACACACTCAGGAAAAACGACTGGTGACGCATTAAACACGTGGGCGAAACAGGTCATTACAATCTTAACTTTCTCTGTCTCGTGTTTTATCGCGCACCCACTAACTTCCTTCGCAACCGTAGACGGTTCCCCCCTGTCAAAGACTGAGGAAGTTTACGTGTCAGTCTCGTTAACGAAAAAATTCTACGCAACTTTCTTGCTTTCTTTGAAACTGCTGACTAAGGAAAGTCGTTCGTTTTTGTGTCTGCAGTTAGACGTTAAGTGATGGGCAGCGGTCCGAAGGGGAGTGCACAAGGCGCAGAGCTAATGAATAAAAACCGAGACGCCACGACGTACATCAGTGTCATTCTGGTAACGCACGAATCCTATTCAATCACTGTTTATTAATCGCAACCTCAATATCTCCAGCTAACTGCCTTCTTGGTTAAGCGTTACAGACGTTCAGTGACGTCCCCTCAGCTTTCATGTGTGCACTTTTTAACCACTTGGATCTGTAAGTTAAATTTGTCTGCTTGGGCCCTCCGGTTACACGATTCAAGTGGTGAGAAATGCCCGCATGTTCTTTCTGTCTGCGCATCTACAGGTATAGCGATTTTTCCTAAAACATATTTTTTTCTTTCTTTATTTATTTATTTATTTATTTATTTATTCACAGCAGTTCAGCCTACACAATATCCAACATACCTACAGTAGGAGCATGTAGAGCGTTAAAAAGTCGCCCTGGTTGCCCTCGCGCTGGCTTGCTGCAAAACTGCGATTCAATTGATATTGACCACACTTTCGTGCATGGGGAGGATGGGGTGGAGGGGACTAGTCAGTTAAAAGTGAAAGGGGGTTGGCAAAGTCTACCTCACGCATTTACCTAAGGGAGAGAAGGCCACTCTTCACAACGCACCCACCCTACCCTGAAGGGAAACCCTGCGCACGTTTATGCGCGGTCTCTTGATATTGCATTCAAAAGTGCAATTGGAAGTGCGCGTACGAGTCACACGAGCTGGGGCAATCTACTACACTTGACTTCCTTTTCTGCATCCGTTCCTGGCTCGCCTTATCCCTTTGTGACACGCGTTATGACCGACTGTCTATAAATGCATGAAATTCACGTGCTTTTGTGCCAACGTTCAGGGGGCCTAATGTAAAGCAAGAGGAAGTGCTAGAGTAAATTTTAGTGTGTTTTATAGCGATTAATTTCAATTGCTGAGCAAATAATGACTTGACTGCTGTACAGTCAACCCTGCTCCATTTTATCTCGAACCAAGTTCAATGTCATACGCAAACTACATGCGATACCTACCTCCTGTAATCGAACTAAAAGGGTAAAAGACAAACAAAACCTTCCAACACCCTTCCGAAATGCCCCACTTCAAATGTTTCGCTGAACCCAGTACTGCCTTCTACTAAGCGAATGTGTATAATGAAATATTTCAACCATAAGTTATTAAAGCAACTCGGGCAACACGAATACTTAGTTTACGATTAGCTGAGTTTTTGTGGTTCAATTCTTGTCAACAGTGCACAGAATATGCTAAAGGTAGTCACTTCTTCAGATGAGAATGCCGTTTTTGCACAAGGGTATAAAGCCTGACTCCAGGCAGAATAAATTTTAGAAAAAAAAACTTGTTCGTCTAAAAAACTATATTTGCCGGTAGGCAATTTTTTTTTCACACAAACCGGATTGAGTCCGTCACGCGCACGCTGTAAAGAAAAACTCTGGGAAACTGAATGGTTTCTGAAAATATTATTTGCTTCATATTTGAGAAGGAAGGAAAATAGGAGGAAAAGAACGGCAGGAAGGTTAACCAGCCTATAGGTAGCTAATTTGCTACCCTGCGTGTGGCAGGGAGATGGGGGAGACGAAAGGTAGAGTGGAGAGAGGTAAGAGAGATAGACACAGCACCTTCGGCAGCACACGCGCGCACACTCAGTCATAGTATTTTCTTTCACGGTGTGTGACATTGCTGTTACAGGCGCTTGTTCAAGTCCGTGTCGCGTAGGAATTTCAACAGAGCTTTTGTCACCTTCTGTTGCAATGTCTTCTCTTGGACACTATTTATATTAAGAAATATGAAACGTCATGTGTCATGCAAAGTGCTCATCAGCAGCTTTTGCAAAGTCGCCATCAATGGGTGGTATAATGTGAGGAATTAAGTCCTAGTGAGGACGTCCTTCATCTCAAAAAGTTTGTACGTTCATTAAAGGCCTGTAAACTCCAGGTGGTTAAATGGTTTCGTTAAAATTCCGAAACCTGCTCTTTCGCAACGCCTCATTCTGGAACTCCTAAATTTAACGAAGAAATCGCGTTCTACGCCAGATTATTGCACTCTTAGTGACGAAGTGCCTGTGCACATTACTGTGTGATGTGCTATCTTTCTGTCACGTTCCTATCTTTCCTCGTCTCATTTCAATCCCCCCATTCTTCTCTTACGTGTAGGGTAGCAAACTGGTTATTCTTAACTGGTTGATCTACCTACCTTTCTTTTTCTACTATTTGTTCTTAAAAAATTCAGAACTTATTAACCAAAGAATTGGGATGCATGAATATTCTTTATTATAGTCGGCAGGTGTACAAAATATGAGTAATAACATGCATCTGTTCAATGTTTATCAAAGGTGTGTGAGTGTTTGTGTGCGTGAGAGAGAGAGAGAGAGAGAGAATGCGTTTGATACCAATGCACTCCATCACATGCAACATAGACTGAACTGACAAAGCTTGCTTCACCTCTCATGAACGTTTGCTGCGGAAAAGCCAGCTTTGCATAAAGGACCTACGCACACATATTTGTGAAACTACCAAGAAGTGCAATGTGCAGATTATCCCCTTCAATATTCACGAAGTTGTTTCACGTCCTTTGGTACAGAGGGTTCCAGATAATAAAGCTGACTTTCCTTGGGATATTACGTCGAGTTAGAACACGTTGAATGTCACTGGGAAACCAAATGGTTCCGTACGATAACCGATACGGCTGCACTAAAGTAAGGCCTAATGTAAGCTGTGATTGCTTACAATTTACCCCATAATTTTCAGAACTAATATCTAAAAGAACAAACAAGATTCACGTTCACAACAACTTCCGATTCTAGGAAAATTATTACCTATGCTCGCCATTCTATGCATTATGAGCTAAACCAACAAAGCTTGATTCACCTCTCAAGAGTGTTTGCTGTGGAATAGCCAGCTTTGCATGAAAAACCTACGCACACAAACATACTCATGTGACTACAAAGAAGTGCATTGTGCAGATTGTCCTCTTTAATATTCAAGAGGTCCTTCGGCGTCCATAGGGACAAAGGGTACCAGATAATAAAGCTGACTTTTCTTAGGTTATTATGTCGAGATAGAACATGCCGAATGCCACAGGGCAACCGAATAGTCCCATACGATAACCTATACGACTGCACTAAAGTAAGGCCTAACGCAAGCTGTGATTACATCTTGTCCCGCGATTTTCAAAACTATTATCACACACACAAAAAAAACATGGTTTGCGTTCACAACAACCTCCACTTCTAGAAAAATTGTTAGCGTATTGAGTACTTGTGGTACCTGATGCATTATTCATGAAGGCAGCACGCTACTAGAAAAAAGCATTTACGAGCGTAATGTTTTATGAATTCGGCGTGGCGTGGTTTACGAGTGGAGACGCGCAATGGGAGAAAAAGCTAGCCGAACCATCCGAAGCACTGGGCCGTATACTGGGTACTCCGTTTTGCGATATGGACTATGTCGCGTTAAGCGCCCCCCAACGCAGGAACAGGCGCATAAAAGTCGCACTCTGAAACTTGCCCGGTAGATTACATCCACCAAATGTAAACAGGCTCATTGAAGGATCCGAACGAGCAGGTCGCAGCTTGAAAAGCACGCGGGGGAACAAGATGATTGTGCTCGAACGCCGGTCTAGTGTCTTCTTTTTGCGGTGATGATAGTTGAGCCCGTGATATTAATGTCTTCCTTTCTTCATTATATGCTTAATGATCCCCGCCTTCGTGCAAATGAATGACACAGACAGTGACAATGTCGCGGTTTATTACAAGAGAACGCACTCCACGTCTTTTTCTCTTTATTGTCCAAACAGTGTGATCGTTTCCTATAAGGCACCTTGCTCAGGTCTGGGACGCTTTATTTGTACATGCCCGATCTCTTACATCCGTATGGTTTACAATTATTACATTTTCAACTTTTCAATCTCCTCGTCGTCAGCGGTTCTCCTCAGCATTCTCTTTGTATAAGGTGGGGTGGACCTTGTGTGATCATCACTTCGCGTTCCCGGCGACCACCAGTGACTCCGGCGCCCGATGGTGCGAGCTAAAACGCGCACCAACTGAGCGCCGAAGCGAGCTGTGACGTTCGTGAAATCCGGCCAATCGGAGGACAGGAAATGGGTGAGCAAATATCGTGGACGACCATGTGGCACTTTCGGGCGAATCATCTTCCCACTGTCCCCCGCAGCCATCGTCTTGGACGGGACGGTGGTTTTAGCTGCTCCCACGTTTATCGTCGGGCAGCGCGTGGCTGTGGTGAAAGTTTACCGCTATGGTGGACGCAGAAGGGCGGGTGGAGATAGAAAGGAAAACAGAGACGACTTCGCATGGACTTATTTAACCCCCCCCCCCCCCCCCCCCCCCCCCGTGGCGAGTCTGGCTTTTTTTTTTACTTGTCCTTCTGCTCCTCGGGGAATGGTCCAGCCAGAACGTTCTTGATGAAGTCTGCACGGAAAAAGGAAGAAAGGTCACTGTTATAGGCAAGTTTATGTGACCTTCACATTCTTCTCAAAAAACACCTTCTTCGTACTTCTAAAGGCTTTTATCATGTTAGATTTGCTTCTGAGAAAAAATGTGGGACCAATGTTGATAACAAACTAATCAAACAATTAATATTAGCGAAGTTGACTGGAGCTGGGTCCAAAACCTGTTACGAAAGAAAAAAAAAAGCTTTAGTTGTGATTCTTTGCCCTTTCACTAATTTTAGTGATGAAAAAACAGTGAACATTTTTTACAACAAACTGATACCAGGACATTTCGTGTTGTGACACGTTTTGTCGCTTTTTCTTAGAAATTTAAGTACAGGCGAAAAAGAGCACGAAGCTCTCACATTGTTTAAGTCGAGAAAAGTATATAACGCATGTACTGCGGAAGGAGTCATAGAGAAATCTTCTCTCTCCTCTTTATCATGCAGCTAAGTAAATTGAGTAAATGTTCACGCTTCTGCTTTTTGTAAGCGTTTTTTTTTTTTTGCTGCTGGCAATTTGTGTAAGTTTCCGTGTATTTGAAGCGTCACAAAGGTATTTAGCCGTTTGCGAGAACGGTGCAGCACGCAACAAATATGGGACACCAGTGGCCGACCGAACAAGTTTTCGTCTAGGCTACTGCTTGGCTTGTGTTCAATCGCACTAGACGCATCCTTCCTATCTGTAGAGAAACACACAATCGAACAGAGCACTTCTACTTTCACTCGATCAAAAAACAAGACCAAAAAACGACATCATTGAAAACACGTCGTGCGCAGCGATTTGTACATAATAGCTATCGAACCGTTGCCAAGTCACGACTGTCGATCAAAGCGTTCGTTCATCACGACCCGCAGCGAAGCCCGGCTCCTCCCTCCAGGAAAGGCTTCGGACGCCAAGTTCCGAGCGTTTGTCGATGTTTCACGAAGGCTGCCTAATCTTTTTAACGTATCACTTCACTCGATCGAGATGTTATGTCTCCCTTCTGACCACCGTTTCCATGGTTACTCGTGTTCACCAGTGCGTCGAAAGAAGCAGTAACGAGCAGACACGTGATAGACAAAGTAATCGACTGGACTCTACAATCGACCCGAGTAAGCTGTCCTGAATGCTAAAGCAGTCGCAAATATCCAGGACAGATCGATCCTTTGAAAGTGATCTCGTGCCATGCTGAATTGATCATTTTTATGGTTTCCAGTTCAAGCAATTATTTGTGCGTTATCCCTTATATGAACTTTCATTTTATCCCGTACTAAAACGCGTTTTTGTTGCTTCCCATAGTGCAGCTGGAGACTGTTTTTCCCTTTCATTGAAAACTCCTTTTCGAGAGTTAGGCCCCGAAAGTTTCCGAAGAAGAAAATACTGACATGACCTAACTTTCAGGTATTGTTTGGATGGAACTGACTTTCTGTCTAAAGTAACAGATGGGAGACAACATACGCTGATAACATGGAGAAATTATACCTAACGCTCTGTGGGGTTATTTATCTTTCTTTGCTAAAAACTGCGCTTTCTATGCACTCTTTCTAGATCAGTTTTGTGGTTAGTATTACGTATGTGCGAAATTACAACCAACTGGTGGGTCTTCTGAAGTAATGTAGATTACAAATCCTCCTAACAAATTTAACAAAAAAAATTAAGCTGACGGGATATTCGCTACATTCACTTCTGCTGCTTTAACCAATAATGAATGCGCATATATTCCAAGTGAATTTATTTTTGATTAAGCTTGTAGACCTTCCCCGGCACTGAGCTGTATAGTACAAGGGGGTCACTACAGAACCGCCTCGAGAATGAGGATGCTTAATCAGCAGCGCAATTGTCGTCTATGGAGAGCAAGAGTGTTTGAAAGACGACAGTAACAATTTCTTTTGCGTCATTCTATATGCCACTCTTATCACCAACCATTCATGACCGGCTAATCTCGTCGATACGTGGGGCAGCACGACGCCCTGACCACTGACGAAGCTCCAGAATTAATTAGAATGTTCATTGAATAATTACATTATCCCAGCTGATAATCTACAAGATAGACAGCCCAACGCAAACTAGTTCGTTTAGTTTTGTGGTTCGGTCTTGTGGCATTCTTCTTTTACCAAAATCGGCGAAGAGTATGCCCGGAGGTGGTCTATACACTTACTCTCGTACTTGATGAACCCGTCCTCGTCTACTGTCCCCGCGCAGCACTGCATGATCTCGTCCACTTCGGCGTCGGTCAACCGCTCACCTGCAAAGGGCCGCGAAAAGACGACATAGTGCTTGAAAGAACACTTGTAATGCCTGGTTAGTACACGATTGGCAACATTTCTGAATATTTCTGAATGGCATTATGGTAGCCCATAGTGTTATTTTGTTTATTCACTTATTTATTACGCTCTAGAATTGAGCATCAAAGCGTACTACCAAAATCGATAAAGCTCTACATCAGTGTTATCCTACACTTAATATTCAGGTCCATCTTGCAAGCGAAACATAGCTTCTTTTGAAAAATTACTCTCGTGTGCTCCTCTACTTTTAATTTGAGCATCCCACTACACTCCAAAGTTGTCAATACGCATCATGCATTATTGTAACTTTCTCAGGCATATTCAGTACAATGACACAATCGAACGAAGTTGTCTGTATACGAAAAACTCGCATGTGTCGAAGGTCATATCTGACGAGCTTTCCACAAGCCGTTAGTGGAAGCTGATGTGTTGGACTGATACAGAAATCTCAACCAAATGAATAGACGATGGCCAGTTTACGCATCTTGCACAACATAACAGATGCAGCTTAACACTGAGCAAAAAGAACAGTTCGAAAATTTTCACCGCAATCATTTAGTACTAGTAACACTCAACATGGGTACAAAGCTCTAAGTAAGTTTATCATATGTTTTGTAAAAAGAAAAATGGCGTAAAAATTGCATCATAAATACTTTGAAAAGGCTAACATCAAAAGCGTCGTGTTTCAACAGTTTGGCAGAAAATGCCATTAAATGCTTTCTGAGCATTCAAAATGTGTTCTTGACATCATTTCTGTTATCTCACCTACATTTTCCCTGTGTATAAACCGATTGAATTGTCCAAAGGGCCTTTTTAATAAGGTTATGGCATAAAGGATAGTTACAAAGACTACAGTGTCTGTACAATATTTGAATGTATTCTAGGTGTGTAGTAGTTACCGAGAGAAAGCAGGACGTGTGCCAGTTCAGCCTCGAGCATCTGGCCGTTCTCGGCCTTGTCGTAGACCTTGAGACCCTCAAGGAAATCGGCGTGTGTGCCCATGTCCTTGTCCTTTTTGATCTGGCTGTAGATGGGCAGGAACTCCTCAAGCGTCATCTTCTTCTCACCTGCACGCATTGGTCAAATGCAATTTGTGTCACTGCAACAATACTTTGACATCCAGTTCAGCGGATTGTGGAGGACCAGGCTGAATTAAGGACCTTACCAAATTCAACTTATCCCAACTGCAAAGAACCGCGCAGTGAAGACGCTAAACCAAGACGTTTGTTCATCTCGTGCGGATTGCGTATTATCTTCCTGAGGTCCTACAATACCCCCCTCTCCTCCTATACCTCCCCTCGACTCTTCAAGCCATTCCCACGAGCAGTGGGAAAGTCTGTCGTTCACAGCATGCCTTGTCGACCAAGCCACGTCACCCGAATGAATATCGAACTAGGAAGCAACGACTCCAAGGTGTCATCAAATAATTGATTGGGCCTCACCAGGCCGCGCCACTCATACTGCTAATCTCACTAATGGTGAGCTATATATATATATATATATATATATATATATATATATATATATATATATATATATATATATATATATATACATACACTATTTACCACTGGCTTACTGTAAATGAACATAAGTGAAACATTATTGCTTTTTGTTCAAGAACGTTTCTTTTTAAGTTCACTGATAGTAATTGAATATTTTCTTTATATTAACCACTGATTTCATGGCCAATCATCCTTGGGGGGTGGGAGCCATATAAAGAAGAGCAAGCAAGCATGCTTCTCCCACCATCCTGCTGCTTCCGGCGTCGACGCCCACACTACAATGTCTGGGGCAATCTGAAGTGAACGTTTTGGTGAAATGCATTGGAACTCTAATTTTCTCTATCGTCACCGGTATCGTCAACGTCGTATCGACGACGTCGACGAAGGACGAAAACGGTGGACTAACGCCGGCGAAAACGCTGTATGTAGCTCGGCTTTTGCGATGTCATCGCGTGTCGTACGATCACCTGCGGAACAGCTCCGATGAAATGCTAGTCGCGCTCAAGCAAGGCGGGCTCGCATACGTGCGCAGACCCATGAAGAACGCGCTGCTATGCGTGTGGGAAACGCTGCATCTTAACATCATTTGACCATGCTCACTGCATTTTGTATGGTTCCTAAACACCCTAGCCTTATATATACTTCTTATAGCAATACAATGTGTTGCTATCGCATTCATTATTTTGGCCTTGTGCCAGAACTGTGACTTTTTTCACTCCGTTTCTATTTTTATTTTAGCTGCCGCAAGAGAACAATTCGAAATTAGCCATGAGTGACTAGCTGCTCTGCAGGTCGTTGCAGGGTTGATGCTGCAAAAGAACTTCGCCACATCGCGCATAATATCACACTTATGCATTGGAATCTCCCACTGAACTCCACTCGACGCTCGCAGAACCTCACTTCATTACTCCAATTACAGCTGTCATCAAAGACTTCGCGACGGGACGCTACAAGGCTGTGTCGGTTGTGAGTCGGCGTCACCTTCACCGATTCACTCCCCCAATTGACTCCCCCAACTGTGATAACATCTAATGTGTCGAAACTCTCGACCATGTCCTGTGCCATTGTCCCCACTTTGAATAAAATCGCCGGACTCTGCAGTGTGCCTTAAGGTAGCTGGATGATATACCCTCTATTCTGGAAAAGATCTTGGAAGCGTGGCCTTCAAGTACTTCAGCCCAGAAAGCCACACGAGCCCTTCTACAATTCTTGAGGGCAACATCACTGCGCGACCGTTTGTGAAACCTGAACTGTGCGTGTGGTGTGTGTGTTATGTGCAATCTGTATTTCCTCCTCCTCTCTCCACTTTTCTCCCGAATTCCTCTCTCCTCTGTGTAGGGTAGCAAACTGGACTTAGTCTAGCTGACCTCCCTACCATTCTGATATTTTTTTCCTTTCTCTCTCTCAGAAACTGTCTCTGAGCACACAGTGCCGATTAGCGAAAAAAATTGGAAAGGGGGAGGCCACTAACAACCGTGCACGCACGTGAAACGTCATATCACCATTAAAATAAATATATCGCCTATGACTAAGGAGGCGCATCCTGCTACAAAAATTGGTGATTATGATCCACAGGCTACCAGGGAAATCATCACTATAGTTGATGCAACATTGCTGGCATCAATAAATGACAAGTTAGGTTTTATAATTGCGCAGTGTGGCAGTTGATGAGGTGCTCTCAACAAAGTGTGATTACACGTTTGTATAATGATAGTAATAATTACCTCTCTTCTGGGTGCCTCCGTTCTTCTCGATGGTGGCGTTGGTGGGGCGCAGGTCGAGGGACCTCAGCAGGGATCCCAGGTCGGCGCAGTCCACCTTGCCCTCAGCGCACATGTCGTAGATCTCGAAGTGCTCACGGGCCTCTGCACGCGCATCCCATTATAACAATTGACCCATTAAAAAAGATCCCATTATAGCAATTGACTTCTCCGACTGAGACGCAACAAGAGTCATGCTTGTCTTTTAGAGTCAGTTCGTATCGTCAGCCGATATCTCAAGACGCAGAAGTCAACGGGCTTAAAAGTACGTTTCTTCTACTGTGCTAGAGAAATATCTTGTTTTATTGCAATATCAATTATATAGGCACTCTCGGCTGGATTTTGCCGCCGGCGTCGGCATCGACGTTGGCGTCACTCACCGTATATGTATACGCATCTATATATATATAAAAATGCGAGACCAAAAAAATTGAAAAAAAAAAAGACTCCGGCGCGTCGAATTGAACTTGGGTTCTCTGAATCATGAGTGCGATGCGTTAACCACGCCACGGAGCCACCGAGGAGCATGTCCTTCAACGTTCAAACGGCGAGCTATTTATATATACCACTTATCGCTACTGACGAGCATCTCGGGGAGCGGGAGCAACTATCGTGTTTTCAGCATTACCAGAAAGATGGCGCAATTAGTGCACGTCACCACATTGCGTGGCGGTGCGTGCTCTAATCTCCGACGCGTACTTTGCCCCGCTTGGAGAAGGGGAGCGACGCTCCCTCGCGCGCTCTTATCTCGCGGCGGGAGGATATTACATTTTTGCTGGCTTCGGGCTTTACCTGAAACGATTCTGTTGCAGTTACCGGGTGCACAAAGGTCACTGCAATCATTGCAGTCTCCGTTTGCGAAGACACAGTGAAGTAACAACTGAGACGCTTATTCGCGTGCATCTGTACCTGTGAGTAAGTTTCGTGCGTCATTTTGCGTGAGAAACGCGGGGCACGTTTCGATATGCATGTTCAATACTACTACCACCACTACTACTACTGCAACTATGTATAATAATAATAATAATAATAATAATAATAATAATAATAATAATAATAATAATAATAATAATAATAATAATAATAATTAGCACTATTATACACATCCAGAAATCCGCAGCTGAACCCCCCATTAACGAAATTTTCGCGACAACGAACAACTATTGCGTCGCCGGCAAACAACCGTAGAGCACAAAGCATTTACCTCCTCTCGACAGTGAAGAGATCTTAGAAAGCACTTTCGAAATAACCAAATTTTTAAGTACCGATCTGCCACATTTTTTTTTTCAAACCATGAGCTGTAGTTCGCAACCCTCAAGCTGAAAATAGCGGCAGCGCTCAGTGGACAAGTTGGATGCATATTTTTTGCTGTAAAGCATTGGTACGACCATTGCCTGCCACGTTCGGTCATGTGCTGATGACATCAAAAATAAGACTTTTTTTTTTCGCCTGAGAATTGTTTTTTTTTTTTCGCTAACACATATGTTGGCAACTCTATACGTGGGCACACGACGTTTAGAGTGACAGCCCTCACGGAAGTGTCACCATACCGACAGACATTCAGAACAGCTCCTCTCTCACTTTGCACGTATATATATATATATATATATATATATATATATATATATATATATATATATATCCCGCGTTTTGTTTATGCCCATGTACTGTTTGTATTTTTTAAAAGATGCCACCTTCTAGTAGAAAACGCAAACTCTGACGCTTCAGAAGAAGTCCACGATCATCACCGAAGCTGCAAAAGGCAGAAAACAGGCAGATATAATTGCGGAGGAGCTTAGTGTGCGTCTTTTTTTCTATTTTTTGAGATAAAAAACTTCTCATAAGAACGAACAGGACTATAGCTTCTTTAGCTATTTCGTTATTGAGGGGTCGGACTGCAATTCACGGAAGTTTTCCTGGAAGGCTTTCGCGGAAAAAGTGCTTTTTTGAAAAATATGAAATATATAATTCATGCCCCTTCTCGGGCTTTTACGAGTCTTTACGCTGTTTTACGCCATGAGAGGCTGCGTATACAGGCGAACTTACGTTCGTCCTATCATCGCTGTACCATTCGAAATACGCGTTTGTTTATTCGCGTTTTTCTCAATGGGTAGAGGATGTGGCGGGGGACGTAATTAAGTGCTACATCAAAAAGGAATGTTACACTAATGTGGCTCTCAAGAACATCTTACTGTGAATAATTTTTGCGGGGAAATTTCGCAAAATATTTTTGTTAGACAAATTGTTATCACTGTTATTTATTTATTTATTTATTTTGACATACTGCCAATCCCATCAGGGATTTTAGCAGGAAGGGCGTGAACATAAAAATTCGAATAAGTACACAATAAAGACATACATCGCGATAAAGTACAGAATGAAACTAACAGAATCGGATCATTTAACAATTTCAGATCAAAGAAGGCATAAAACATTAGTGTAAAGAAAAGTTGTCAGAAGAAAATAAATGCAGCGACTTGGTTGACACATTGGTTGACATATTGGCATATGCATCAAGAAACACAACAAGAAATTACAGCAATAAGAAACTACCCTACAATATGGCGAAGTATTTCAAGGAAGGGCAAATTTATACACACTGAAAAACAGAAATATGTTCAAGACTCAACAGAGCGATTTCTCTTCACCTGGATTCAGATTAAAAATTGCTTAAAGAAAAAATATGATGACATGATGCTTCGCTCGTACAATGTTCACACGAACACTCATATTAAAATCAACCAGGTGATTCCGTTTGCATAATACAAAGTTCATTTTCGACAAGGGTTAGAAATTTTGCTAATTCGGTAGTGCTGGAGATACTCGGATCCAGTTTATTCCATTCATTAGTGGCTATCGGAAAGAATGAGTACTTAAAGCAGTTTGTGTTGAAGGAGTATTCGTTAAGTCTCATTGGGTGTTTTTGGCGTGTTGTTCTAGTTTGATCAAACGTAAGATAGGCGGATACATCAATGTTTAAATGACCATGGATTAATTCATGTATGAATTTTGCACGTGCTAACCTTGTTCTATTCATTAGAGTAAGTAATCCAGCTTTTTTAATTAGTTTAGTCGGAGAATCTGTATGCCTGTACTTTTTGTAAATGAACCTCATAGCTTTCCTTTGTATTCCTTCCAGTTTCGTGATTTGCTGTTTTGTGAATGGTGACCAAATAATATTACCGTATTCAAGTAATGATCGCACAAGGGAAGTGTATGCAAGCAGTTTTAGAGAAGGCGGGGCCTGACGAAGCCGGTATCTGAGTGCAAACAAGCGGCGTAGTGCAGCTGAAGTAACGTAACTTATGTGTGCATCCCATCTTAGATCTTCAGTTATAATAATTCCAAGATATTTATGCTGATTTATTCTAGTTATGGGAATGTCATTGATAGTGTAAAGAAAATTTGACCTAGTTTTTTTTCGACTTACTGATAAAATTGTACACTTGTTTGCATTAAGTGACATCTGCCATTTACGGCACCAACAGGAAACATCTTGTAAAGCACTATTTAAAGCTACATGGTCCTCCGTTGAGTTTATTTCTCGATATAGCACCCAGTCATCCGCGAATAATTTGATTTTTTCCTTAATATTTGTAGGCAAATCTTTAATAAAGAGAAGAAACAAAATTGGCGCCAGCACACAGCCCTGCGGAACTCCAGATGTGACGGAGGTGGTAGCAGAGGTTTCATCGTTAAATTCCACATACTGTGTACGATCAGTAAGATAATTTTTGATCCAGTTAAGAACAGTAGAATTTCCTAAGGTGGCCTGAAGTTTTGAAGTAGTTTCTTGTGTGATACCTTGTCGAATGCTTTGGCAAAGTCGAGGAAGATTAGATCAGTTTGTTTTTGGTTGTCAATATTCTGGGATACCTCATGTGTTAATTCCACTAATTGGGTTATGGTTGAAAGACCTCGGCGAAACCCATGCTGATAGGGAGATAATATTCGTTTTTCTTCTAGGAAAACAGTTATTTGTTTAAGAATTATGTGCTCCAAGATTTTACAGATTGTACATGTCAGGGATATAGGTCTAAAGTTAGATATATCATTTCCGCTTCCTCCTTTATGCACAGGAATAACTTTGGCCTTTTTCCACTCCACAGGTAAAGAGCAAGTTGATAGGGATTCGTTAAACATGACGCACAGATATTTAGCTAGCAACTCTGCATATCTTACAAGAAAGATGTTAGGAATGTTGTCGGGCCCTGCTTCTTTTTTTGCGTCCAAGTTTAACAAGAGATTTATGACACCGGCCTCATTGATAACAATCGATTCCAGGGTACCTTCCGCACTAGAGTCGATGTCTGGAATATAGGGATCCGTACAAAATTCACTAATATTTGCGCGCCATGACCAACTTTTGACATCCACGTGCTTGTGTATGTGTTTGTTATCAATGCAGTGCGAAGGACGCAGTTCTAACCACAGGGTTCCTTGAATAAAAATACCAGTGTACCTATAGGGCCAACCGTATCTCGAACCCGAAAGCACTTTCCGGTAATAAAGGGTTATGTCTTTGCCTCAATACTAAATAGAAAATATGCACAGGTAAGTGTTCTCCTTCTCAACGTTTACACTCGTTCTCTTCATCTTTAATATATTGGTTCACGCTCAACAATCTGGGAGATCAAAAATGAAGCAAAAAGCATCTAGTGACTCGTCGTTCAATGTTCCACATCCTGTCGCGATTGAATCCGCGCGGACAAGATGTCATGGGTCAGATGACCTACGAAGTGCAGTGATCTGTATACGCAGAGCTGTCACTGCACTTTCGTCATTCGATGTCATCTCTTTCTGATCGTTATTGCTGTGTTTTCCGTAAAGTGTACCTCGTAAAATTTGTGAGTGTTCTTTGATGCTGTGTTCATATGCAAACCTGTAGAGTGCGGGGAACACAATAAATAAATAAATAAATAAATAAATAAATAAATTTTACTTCAGCACACTAACTATAGCCCAACTCAATAAACTCATTGTACTCAAATAAGTGGTTTCAATGTTTATTTTACATATGCTGCGAACCAGTGCAGCTTCGCAGCAGCGTAATTATCGCCTTCATCCAGCCCGCAACCATCGGTCTTTGTGTTTCTCTTCCTGTT